TTGCCGATGTCACACATATTGGCACAGTTTATCTCTCGAATGATCTCACCCTTCACAACGTGCTTTGTGTTCCATCATTTAAACTGAATTTAATTTCTGTCAACAAACTCACTAATACCTCATCTTGCTTTGTCATCTTCACTGATAAAATGTGTCTACTTCAGGGCCAACGATCGGGGAAGATGATTGGGACGGGAACTGAACGAGAAGGACTCTACTACCTTGATAATGTGATGAAAACCAGGTGCAATTCAGCGTCAATTGTTGCCTCTTCTTCTTCTCAGCTTTGGCATCAACGCCTTGGCCATCTTTCCAACAAGACCTTACGGCATCTCTCTACTTGCATTAAAAATTTGAATTTTTGTAGCATTGATGATTGTTTGATCTGTCCATTAGCCAAACAAACACGTGCTCCTTTTCCTTTGAGTTCTATCACCACAAAGGCTCCTTTTGAGTTAATTCATGTTGACATTTGGGGAGGTTACCATGTTCCCACTATCACAGGGGCACAATATTTCTTAACTATTGTGGATGATTTCTCAAGATGCACATGGGTTTATTTAATGAATCACAAATCAGATGCACGATCTTATCTCATCACTTTCATCCACCTTGTTGAAACACAATTTTCCACACGAGTCAAGGTTCTTCGTAGTGATAACGGTCCAGAATTTTTTATGACCCAATTTTTTTCAGATAAGGGGATTCTCCATCAAACAAGTTGTGTCTCTACTCCCCAACAAAACGGGGTAGCAGAGCGCAAACACCGCCACTTACTCAATGTTGCTAGAGCCTTACTTTTTCAATCTCATCTTCTTAAGAAATTTTGGGGTGATGCAATCCTCACTGCCACTTATCTCATAAATCAGACTCCCACTCCTCTTCTTCAAGGCAAATCACCCTATGAAATACTTCACCACAAACAGCCAGCGTGTGCACATTTGCGAGTGTTTGGTTGCTTATGTTTTTCTTCCACCCACCACCATCGTCCCACAAAATTTGATGCAAGAGCCACACAATGTCTTTTTCTTGGGTATCCATATGGCACAAAGGGATATCGAGTTTACGACCTTCACACGGGTAAAATCTTTATCTCCCGTGATGTTATTTTCCATGAACATGTGTTCTCTTTTTCATCTTCTGCTGCAGTTTCACCACTTGTGTTTCCACATACTCAAGATACTGCCTGTGATGATCCCATCATTCATCCGTCCATTCTACTGGAGTAGGATTCCGTCGATCCATCCTCTTCTTCGCCGGTGAGTCCTGTTTCGGTTTCATCTCCTTTTCTTTCCACCTCACCACCTCGTCTTAAACGACCCACTCATGCACCTGGTTATCTTCAACAATATCACATCGACATCAGCCTCCCTTCTCGGTCCGTCCCTTCATCTCACTCGGCGTTGACCAAAGTACCAGGTACTCCTTACCCTTTGTCTGATGTCCTCACATACGATCGTTTATCTGCTCGACATCGTGCTTTCACCACTTCCATTTCAGCTGCCATAGAACCCAGCTCATTCTCACAGGCCATACGCGACCCTCACTGGCGTTTCGCTATGGAAGAAGAACTGGCAGCCCTTGCTGCGAATAGGATATGGTCTCTGCAACCATTGCCCCCTGGCAAGAAGCCGGTTGGATGTAAATGGGTTTACAAAATCAAATTTCGATCCGATGGATCCATTGAGAGATATAAAGCACGCTTGGTTGCCAAAGGTTATAGCCAAATTGAAGGCTTAGACTATCGAGAGACCTTTGCTCCGGTTGCAAAATTGACTACAGTTCGTCTACTCCTTGCTGTTGCCTCGGTCCAACAATGACACCTCCACCAGCTTGATGTTAATAACGCTTTCCTCCATGGTGATCTTGAAGAAGATGTCTACATGTCCTTGCCTCCTGGTTTCGGACGAAAGGGGGAGACACGAGGTTGTAAACTTCATAAATCTTTGTATGGGCTTAAGCAAGCCTCTCGTCAATGGTTTATCAAACTCTCTTGTGCTCTTAGAAAGGCCGGTTATCAACAATCCAAGGCAGATTATTCATTGTTCGTCCGAAACCATGATGGTAAATTCACTGCCCTCCTTGTCTATGTTGATGATATTATCTTGGCAGGAAATAACATACAAGCAATTGAAGATACCAAGTCTTTTCTTATAAAGCAATTCAAGTTGAAAGACCTTGGCCAATTAAGATATTTCTTGGGCATTGAAATTTCTCGCTCTAGCAAGGGGATCACCTTCTCACAGCGAAAATATGCCCTTGAAATACTTGAGGATGCAGGTCATCTTGGCGCAAAACCAGCCACCTCTCCTATGGAGCAAAACTTATCACTCAAAAAGGACGAAGGACAATGGGTTACTGATCCTTCCTCTTATCGACGACTTGTTGGGAGACTAATCTACCTGACAATCACGCGCCCTGATTTGGTGTATGCTATCCATATTCTTAGTCAATTTATGGAGAAGCCTCGAACTCCACACTTGGAAGCAGCCCAGCGAGTCTTACGATACGTTAAGCACACACCAGGGCAAGGTATTTTTCTTTCTGCAAGAAGTCCAATTCAATTGAATGCTTTTTGTGATGCGGATTGGGCCAGATGTCGAGACACACGACGTTCTACCACCAGATACTGTGTATTTCTTGGAGAATCCTTGATCTCCTGGAAAAGCAAGAAACAAAATACTGTGTCACGTTCTAGTGCAGAGGTGGAGTATCGTTCAATGGCAGCAACTTGTTGTGAAGTCACTTGGTTGAAATCTGTTCTACAAGACTTGGGTATCAAACATAAACGTCCAGTTAAGTTATATTGTGATAATCAAGCGGCACTTCACATCGCTTCGAATCCGGTCTTTCACGAAAAAACCAAACACATAGAAATTGACTGCCATCTTGTACGAGAAAGGGTTCAAAGTGGAATGATTGAGACATCTCACATCTCAACCATGAAACAACCAGCCGACATCTTCACAAAGCCACTGAGCTTATACCAGTTTACGACTTTGCTTTGCAAGTTAGGAATAATCAACATTCATTCCAAACTTGAGGGGAAGTGTTGAGAGAACTTGCCCCACTAACCTGGACAGAAGGAATACTGCACGTGGGTACAATATTCCTTGTCAGCAGACTACCACATGGTTTCAGCTCCTGTGCTCTGATGTGTTGCAGCATGGGCAGCAAGCACGCCACCTTTACAGAAGGAATACTGCACATGGGCAGCAAGCACACCACCTTTACAACATTTGTTTATTGCATGCAATTGTTTAAATGCATGCGTGTGTGTAAGATGTATATAATACAACCATCTGCCATTACAGCAGTAAATCAATAACACAACCAAATATTAAACTTAATAGATTTCATCTCAATTGATATCACCTTTGGGTACGAACACCTTTAAGCTACGTTTGTTGCATCGGATTATCTTGGACTGGACTAGTTTCAGGGTCTAAGCTGGACTCTCTTGACTTAGACTAAATAAAATAAAACTAGTGAAATGTTTGGTGTAGTGCCGGACTAAATGTCGGACTAAAATATTGACCCAATTTTTTTGTTAATAAGAGAACAAGAAATTAAGAAAGAAATGCAACGCCACATGGAGCCAAATTCATTGTTTCCAATTTTTAGGATTGCAATCGATATGATATCAAGAGGTCCAGAACTCCAGAATTAAAACCCAAAATAAATAAAATTAAATCCAAAAAAAAAAAAATAAAAATAAAGAAATTTAACATCAAAACTAAACCCAGAATTGGAAACGCAGTGTAAAACACTAGAAAATGGAGATAAAGACCACACACTGTATATTCCTTCGAGAAAGAGACTTTGAGGCCCTAACAAAATTTACCCAAAATCAAAATTAAACCCCAAAAAAAAAGGGAAATGAAAGAAATTAACATCAAAATTAAACCCAGAACTTCACACTGCAATGCCATCCATATAAATTTTCCGACCAACCAAACAAAATTAACCCACAACTCCAAAACTCAAAATTAAACCAGAACTCCAGAAGGTCCAAGAATGCTATAAAGTGTGCGACTGCAGCGCTATTCCTTTAGGTGGCTTCGACGACACCGAATCTTGGTCGTTGACTATCTCTTCTTCAAGCTCGTCGTCGTCGTCCCTCGACGACACCGAATCTTAGTTGCACAAAAGATGAAGGTGGGTCACTGCCGACGGCCGGGCCATGGTGACGGCTCCGCAGAAGAAGGCGGAGCGTGGAGGGACTGGGGGGGTTAGCAAGCGAAAGTGGGGATTGGATATCGGCCTGGTTTCCTTCTTCTAGTCCTTGCTAATACCAAGCGAAAGCGTGGGATTAGGCCGAGAGCTTTAGCAAAGCGCGCAGAGACTCATAGTCGAGGCGAGTCCCATTTATTTTAGTCCCACAACCTACCAAACGTAGGATTATAGTCCTACTTAAGGTAGTCCAAGCCAATCCCTCCTAAGGAGGTGTAACAAACGTGCCCTTAGGGTGCGTTTGTTGCACCGGACTGTCTCAAACTGGACTAGCTGCAGGGACTAAGTTGGACTGGCTTAGACTAGACTAAGCTGGACTAACTTAGTGAAGCGTTTGGTGCAGTGTCGGACTAAGAAGCAGGATAATGAAAACAAGATTATTCACCATATTTGTGTTTGCTTAGACTAGGATTACATTATTGTTCTATTTTAATAGCTCCAATACATGTGTCCAACGCCCTAAAAATTGGAGGGTTTGGAATTGGAATTGGGGTTGGCATAGGTGTAGCAGCATTGAAATTGAAATGGGAGTAACAATCTTACAAATTACTACAAATATTTGGGCACATTGCCCTGAGTTTAATCTCTTGAATTGTTATTGTAATCAATCCACAACTTGCCCTTAAAAGTTGATTTAATTTGTCTTCTTATCACACATTAAACGTCATTAGCCATCAAATACTTATATCAACATAACTTGATCCAAGGATTTCTTAGTCCGATAAATACATCATTCACTAAATTTTCATCTAGGATATTTTACAAAATGCCAGTTAACTATAGTATAGCATTCCAAAGTAGATCTCCATACTTTACAAAATCCTAGTTAACATTAGCCAAAATACGTCATAGTGCAAAGCTAAGTTAGAAGCCATAACCTAAGATTGTACGATTAATAAAATACATCCATGTCTAAGGGCACCACATAATATACTCATCCGCTTGCTTTGTCGCTTAAAAGCCTTTGGACGAACACTTTCTTGAGTCCCGAATTGATTGCCCTGAACACTCCCACATTTTGTGGTTTTTCCAAAATAAGAGTCAATGCATCAATTTGATCCATAGGAGAAAGACCCATTGCTTCAAGTTCGTTAGCTATGTCAGTATGATTTGCAGTACCTTGAACTAAAGCTTCAGTTACCATTTGCATCCTCTTCCCACTTTCAACATAAAATTCTTTCAGTCCACTAATAATTGCCTCGGTTCCATCACTTGAATTTCCCATAGCTCTTTTCCTCTTTCTTTGGCTATTTTTAGATGGGGTGCTTTGTTGGCTTTGTTGGTTCATTGAAGATACAACATTTTCACCTCCAATATCACTTGCACCAACCTGATCATGACTTTGTTCCTCCATCATTTCAGCAGGGGTTTCGGCTACATTACCCGTAGCCCGATCTTTTCCAAATATATATGCAAATCTATCGTACAGTGGAAAAGGTTTGCTTCTCCATCCATCAGCTTCTTTATTTTTCTAAGATTATATGAACATAGCAAAACTAAAATTTAGCATGCATAACAAATATAGCAGCAAGAATATAACTAATGTATAAATAAAATAGGATATGAACCTGCACATAAGAAAGCCATGCGTCATCACTGTCAACTTCAACGCACTTTTTGACATCATTCCATGCAAATCCACTTGTGTTTATATGTCAAGGACCAAACTATATGTTTTTTTCCATTTCTTCAACTTTGACTCAATATGTGGAGTTGCCTTTATATTTGAATTAGGACATAAAACATTGACAGCTTTCGCTATTTCAATCAAAGTACCTTGTTTGAAAGCACCTGTGTCACATCGTTGCTTCCGAGCAACAAAATCCTCAAGAACGGATAGTAATACTTCTTCCTCAAATGCTTCCCATTTACGCCTTCTTCCTTTTGGCTCTTGAGAAGCATTCAAATTATTGTGGTTATCCATACCTAAACAAAAAATATTTGAATGTACTAAAATACAATACAAAGAATCAATTTGCATAATATCCAATCAATTTGCATAATATCCAATCATTTTAATAATATCCAACATATGCATGATAAAAAGGAAAACTAAAATAAAATCTTATCATTAACACATATAGCTAGTTCGGTTGCTGGTTCCTAATTGCTCTCCACTCATTATACATTTCCTGAGCCATGGCATTCCTCTTTGCAGTCCACTGGTCAGATGTTTCAACACTACCAACATATTCACCTTCTTCTGTATTTTGTCCATCTTCTATTATTGGCACATTCTCCATTGGATCTACAGACATCTCTTGCCTAATAAGATTGTGTAGTAGGCAACAAGCGGTAATTATTCGACCTTGTGTCCTTATCGGATAGAAAGATGGACTCCTTAGTATCCCCCACCTTCCTTTTAGCAAGCCAAAACAACGTTCAATTACATTCCTTGAAGGAAAATTTATGTCCTTACTAAGAACATGTAAAGAACATTTGAATACATAGGCAAACTATTAACAAATTAAAGTAGGCATGCATCCAAAAACAATTCATAAAACCCATGACTTTCAAAGCCTAGTATATGGTGAACCATAACTCTTTAACAACATTAAAGAGAAGAAAGGATTTAGAGAATCATTACCCTTGTAGCTCATCCTTGATTACACAAGGGATTCACCCAAGTGGAGGGCCTTCAAGTCACCTCCTTTGCTTCCTTGAGGATTTGAGGATATGTTCTCCAAAACACCAAAAGCTTGATGTCTCCAAGTCTCTACACCAAAGATTAATTGTGAAGATAAAAGTGGATGACTTAGGGGAGAGGAAATTGCTAGATATCCCTCCCTAAGTGGCCGGCCTCCCTTGTTCAAATAGAGAGAATAATTTTTTTTTTTTTTTTCTAATTTCATCAAGAAAAACCCCTAACAAAATAAAGTTATAATTTTGAATTTATACTTCATTTCTTGTGAGTGGCAAACTCGTAATTAACACAAGTTTGGTATCCCTCACTATTCATGGCCGGCCTCTCTAAGTGTTTGGGCTAATTGCCCATTTTGTTTTAGTTGTCATACAACTTAAACATAATGGGCCTTGTGGTCCAAAACACTTTTGGACCCCTAAACCCAAAACCAACTTAGAAGTCCAATACGAACGTTTCGTATAATTAATTAACTAATTAATTAACTTTGACCATACTTCAATTAACCATTTAATTGCTTATCCATTTCATTTAATTACCTCACTTTCATCCTTACTCGGTGTATGATCCATTAGGTTCCAATTAGCGAGGCAGTGGGCGATGTTACTCTTAACTATCGATTGTGAATTTAAACCATATTTCAATTCTCCCTTAAGATTAGTGTTTGCTAATCTTTAGGGCTTCCACAAACCATGAGTGACACCTAGCAGCATGTCATGGTTACCCAAGCTAAGTATAAGTGGTTGGAGAACCTATCCAGTTACAACTACAATGCAATACGGTTCTTCTCTAATACAATACTCTTAATCACATTGTTGAAGTGATAGTTTGTTTCATGTCTACTATCCAATGTGATACTTCCCTATATGATTCGCTTGAATAAGATTTGGAACAAACTTCCTAAGTCATATTCATATGCTTTGGCCAAAGACTTTCGAATCATATCTTAGAGTATTCTCCTTCCACCATGGAAGGTTAGAGATCCCTTGTTGTGCATTCATATGCCTACATGACTAGATAGCTTGACCCCAACCATGCCGTGGACACTCCAAAGGAATGCCATTTGACCCGATCAAAGATCAAGGACCTAACCATTAGACATCTATGATGCCTCAGGTCAAAGGACTACTTTGCATATTGTAACCATCGAGTTCTTACATGACATGTATGTTTGCACTCTCTTTTGATCATAGTTCAGTGTACTCGATTACTCTTTCGAGCACCTATGTGTTTGTCTTAGTGTCCAACACTAAATGACTTGAGACTTGTCATAACCATACTTGAGTCGACATAACACATACTAACCTTAGCGGATTGTCAATGCCCAATTGGCAACCTTATGGCTAGGAACGTTTTAGGAATGAACATAAGAGAAAGGTCTCGAAAATCTAACTTACTTAGATCACTTATCTCTTAGATCAAATACATTCCTTGGATTCCCTTATTGCTTAAACACAAGATACAATAAATAGTGATTAACAATAAGCTTTGCCCTCCATTAAACATATAAAAGTTTAATACATTAAGTATTCCAAAAAGCTATTACATCAAATGAGTGGCTTTGTGGGCATACTTCCAACAATCTCCCACTTGCACTCAAAGCCATCCTCCCATGTATCTAATACCCATCTTTTCCATATGGCGGTCAAGTTGGATTTGAGACATTGGCTTCGTTAGTGGATCTGCTACGTTATCGGCTGAAGCAACTTTGAGGATGTTGACTTTCCCCTTGGCAGCATATCTTCTAATGATATTAAAGAGCCTATCAAAATGCTTGTTCTTTTGATGTGCTCTGGGTTCCTTGGCTTGAGCTATCGCCCCACTATTATCACAGTACAAAGTTACTGGTGATGTAATGGTTGGAACCACTCCAAGTTCAGTGATGAACTTCTTCATCCAGAACGCTTCTTTGCCGGTTTCAGCTGCAGCGACATATTCAGCCTCTATCGTGGAATCAGCAATTACACTTTGTTTCTTGCTTTTCCAGCTGACAGCCCCACCATTCAGAGTGAATACATATCCGGAGTTGGAACTTCTATCATTGACGTCAGATTGGAAATCTGCGTCTGTATAGCCTTCCACTCGCAACTCTGTCACTCCTCCATAAACGAGGAACATGTCCTTAGTTCTTCTTAAGTACTTAAGGACCGTCTTGACAGTTGCCCAGTGTTCTGATCCTGGGTTAGATTGATATCGACTAGTAATGCTCACAGCATATGCGATATCAGGCCTTGTGCATGTCATGGCATACATGAGACTTCCTATGGCGGAAGCATAAGGAATAGTATTCATTTGTCGTATCTCTTCAGGAGTCTTAGGTCCCATGGACTTAGAAAGGTGAATTCCATGTCTCACAGGAAGAAAACCTTTCTTAGATTGTTCCATCTGGAACCTACTTAGCACCTTATCAATGTACATAGATTGGGATAATGCAATTAGTCTTCTGGTTCTATCATGATAGAGCTTTATCCCAAGTACATAAGATGCATCTCCTAGATCTTTCATGTGGAAGGTTTTGGACAACCACACTTTTACAGAAGAAAGTACTGCAGTGTCATTCCCGAATAGTAATATGTCATCTACATATAACACTAGAAATACCACTGCATCCCCTACGACCTTTTGATAAACACAATTGTCGTCTTCGTTTTGAGTAAAATCAAACGATTTGATTTCAGTATCAAAACGAATGTTCCAGCTCCTTGAGGCTTGCTTAAGTCCATAAATGGACCTCAGAAGCTTGCATACCTTAGTCTTTGCAGACTTGGACATGAAACCTTCGGGTTGAGCCATATAAAGCTCTTCCTCTAGGTAGCCGTTCAGAAAGGCCGTCTTCACGTCCATTTGCCAGATTTCATAATCATGGTACGCAACTATAGCAAGCAAAATCCGAATGGACTTAATCATGGCTACAGGAGAGAAAGTTTCTTCATAGTCAATCCCTTCTCGTTGCCTGTAACCCTTGGCTACAAGTCTAGCCTTATAAGTCTCCACGTTCCCATCAACGCCTATCTTCCTCTTGAAGACCCATTTGTTTCCAATAGGTTCTATACCTTCTGGAGGGTCTACAAGAGTCCAGACCTGATTTTGATACATGGAATCCATCTCGGATTTCATGGCCTCTTGCCATCTCTTTGAATCAATGTCGGACATTGTTTCTTTGTAGTCCCTAGGGTCTCTTTTGTGTCATTGTCACCCAGAAGGTACAATTCCGCAAAGTTATTGTCTAAGCCATACCTCTTAGGTGGCTTACTAACCCTTTCAGATCTACGTGGAGCTTGGGGTCCAGGAACAGGGTTGTCAATATGTCTTGTGCTTGTTTGTGTTTCATCTTTAATCTCATTAATTTCCATCGTTTTACTTATAGTTCCTTTGAGAACAAATTCGTCCTCTAGAAACTTAGCAGTTCTGGCGACAAAGACTTTCTGGTCGTCAGGATGGTAGAACTCATATCCCATAGTTTCTCTAGGATATCCCACAAAATAGCACCTTACTGATCTCGCTTCAAGCTTAGTAGCTTCAAGCTTCTTGACATATGCTTCACAACCCCAAATCTTAATGTGATTAAGACTTGGCTTTCTTCTATGCCATATCTCATAGGGCGTTTGTGAAACTGATTTGGAAGGTACTCTATTAAGCAAGTAAGCTGCTATATATAGAACGTATCCCCAGAATGTTACTGGCAGATCAGCGGAACTCATCATAGAACGAACCATGTTCATCAAGGTTCGATTTCTCCTTTCAGAAACTCCATTAAGTTGTGGAGTTCCCGGTGGAGTCTACTGTGATATTATTCCACACTCTTTGAGATAATCTAGGAATTCATTACTCAAATATTCACCCCCTCGATCTGATCTTAGGATTTTTATCTGTTTCCCAGTTTGCTTCTCAACTTCATTCTTGAATTCTTTGAACCTTTCAAAGGATTCTGACTTGTACTTTATAAGATACACATAGCCAAACCGAGAGTGATCGTCGGTGAATGTGATATAGTAGGAGAAACCTCCTCTCGACGTAGTAGACATAGGTCCACATACGTCAGTGTGGATTAACCCTAGAATTTCAGTGGCACGCTCTCCTTTCCCAGTGAATGGAGATTTGGTCATCTTCCCTTTCAAACAGCATTCACAAGTACCCATCTGGTCATTACCTAATGGGCGGACATATCCGTCTTTCGACATCTTGCGAATCTTTTCAAGGTTCACATGTCCAAGTTTAAGATGCCACATTCTTTCTTGGTTAACTTCTTCTCTAGCCCTTTTGGGTTTTGAGGTATTCCCGCTTT